ACACACACACATACACACACTGTTATTAGAGACTAAATACTGAGCTTACTGCATCTAAATTCAGCATTTGGACAAGAGCTCAAAGAGCGAAGTCATTCAGTTATAGATCTGTGAGTCTTACCGATCATAAAGTAGACGATACAGCTGAAGATGACAGAGGTGATGGTGCGCAGAGTGATGTCAGACAGGATCTTAGAGAGGAAGTAGACAGACACTCTGTAGTAGCCACTGATGTACTCATGCCTGTAGCAAGAAAGCACGAGCAGAAGTCAAAGTTTGGCTTTACACACTCATTCCGAATTTTACGTCGAATTATCCACATAGATGTCACAGTTGAGTCCTGGCTGACTTTCTGACAGATCACATACACAAAGAGTTTCCTCTCGATGATGAAGAGCTCGGCTGCAGACACGGTGCTGAAACACTGGTTGGTAGTGATGAAGAAGAGGGCGCCCATCCTGCAAGATGAACAGAAACAGTGATACAGAGCAAATGATGAAGGAAACTGCAGAGCCTGTTAGCTTAGCTTAGCATAAAGACTGGAAACAGTGGGAAACAGCTAGCCTGGCTCTGTCCAAAGGCAACAAAACCTGCCTACCTGCATCTCTACAGCTCACTAATTAACATGTTACACACTAACAGTTGTTTGATAAATCTGTACAAAACCAAAGAACTGTGTTCTATACTGTCCTGTGTATGCATTAAATATAATATGAAATATCCATAAAATATGTCACTTAGTCGGGGATGGTCAGTTTACTCAGTGATAGAAAAGAGGTCACTTAAGGTTGAGAACCACTGCTTTGTGTGGTGTGGTCCATATGTACATAAAGGGACTTAAAAGGTGACTGACTCCACTGCGGCCCTGCCCCCAATGAAAAGGAGGGAGGGGTGAATAACTTGAGACATCTAAGCCGCGTACACTGGTGTCTGCCATACTGCCTATGCATTGACCATGAATATAATGACATTAGGACCTTATGTTCCACTCAACCATGCACAGAAAGAAAGAGGGAGACCATTGAAATTTCTGATGTGCTTCAGTGGGCTTGTGAGTACCAGGTTGTGCCCAATAAAATATGGTAAGAGGATTAGTCATTCAGGAATTGCTCTATTTTTCACACTTCTGTATTAAAAGCAGTGAAAACAGAATAATTATTAGGAAACGTGCCCACACTGCATAGCCACATAATATTTTAGATTAACGGAAACATCTAATATGATATCTGTGTGCACATTATAACACATGTACAGATTATAATAACAAGCAGTATCTTTTGATTGTGCATCACAAACTACAAACTACTTTTGATTGAATGTGTCTTACATGAACCTGTTGTTTTTGGTACCTGACAGTTAGGGAAGATAAGGGAAGATAAGGAGATGAAAGTGTTTTTTATTCTTAATTATTAGAAAGTATTATGTAAAAACATGGACCTAGCCAGGAATTTATAATTAAGTTCTGAGTCTTCTCCTTCTGTAAAAACCTAAAATAATGTCTCAAAAATATTTTAATGATTCCTTTTTACATTTCTTCAGATAACAGTTTAATTATATTGTCCGTACATTTTATTGCCAAACATGAGAAGTCTACACGCTGTTTCTAAGCATTTTCCACAGTGACAGGAACACATTTTTGGTGGGGAAATGATAAATCCTTTATTTATTATTTATTTATTTATTTATTCAACTAAAAGAAGCCAAATTTAAGTATATTGAGTCTCGAAAAAATACTGGAATCAGCCAATAAAATAAATAAATGTTAGTTTTTCATTGTAGAATTATCTAAACTCTTCCTAGGTTGCTAAAAAAACACAAATTCCCAGAAACAATACAGAGCACATGACCTCCTTGTTGTCCTCAGTGTTAGCTACAGCGCTCTGTGTACAGTAAATATATTTAGATGGGACCACAGCTACTTAAGCTGCTGTCAAAAACAGAGGACTTCTAACGACATGTGCAGTGTGTATTTCAGCAGGTCTCTCACCTGTTCTGGATTCCACTCTGATCATCTTTGACCCCGAAGAAAATGGCTCCTACGATGAGAGCGAGGAAGATGTTGACTCCCAACTGCACAAACAAAAATAACAACTTTTATATCACTCTACTCATCATTCGTCATTCGAGTCACTTCAGGATCGTGACCTGTTCACACTGGAATCCAGGGCCACATTTAAAAAGTAATGTGACCCAAAAAATCAGACATAAGCACTAAGGCTTGCAGTGTGAACGTAGTCTTAGACAACAGAAGCACTGAGAACCATTTAGAAAAAAACAGACAAATATGTAAAATAAAACATTTTCACGTTGCAATATGAGTAATAAACAAAAAGGTTAGATTTTTTTTCTGTAGTTTTTTCTTCTATTTATCCAATTTGAACGTTTTTTGGTAAGTGTTATTGACAACCAATGTTGGCGTAGTACTTCAGTACCACAAACATTCTTTCTGAAGAATGGAAATAAAACTTGAGCAGTGTCCTCTTAGACAAAAAAAAAGCCAATGATTCTGGGGATCAGGGGGTCAAGTGGACGACCTGCTCCTCCTCCAGACCGGCCTATCCGAGAGAACAACCTGAACCGGCGGTGGGGGAAGATGACAGAAAAGAGTGAGAAAAGTGAAAGCGACACAAGTTTTAATCCTAACAATTTACAGATTATGACAGGACTAAGCGGTTCCCAGGGTGAAGGGATAAGCTAATACGGTTGAGCCTTTTTCACCTCATTCCCCACAGCCCCTCATGTGAAAGCGGGGCAGTGGAGTGATAGGTCATGACGCCATCATGTGATGAGTCCCGGACTGGGGCCAAGGGGCTTTGGGCAGACATGATATCAGTTCAGATCCTGGCCCAAAGAGGCAAGAGTGGGGTCACAACAGTCACCAAAGCCGATTATGGCGCCCACGCCACCTAGAGCCCCTCTTGTAGGATTATTTTGACTTATTTAGGGCCAATTAGCTGTTAATAATTCTTAAAGTGAGGAGACAAAAAGGTGTTAGTGGAACATCATCATGTTTAAACATTTGACCTAAAACAGAAAACTTAAAAAGTTAATGAGGTATCTGTCAGACATGTAGACTTGCGACTTGGACCTGAGTCACAAAAATGAGGACTTGAGACTTTTTGAATGCTCTGTTTTTTTTTTTTGACTTGAGGATACTTGACCTCAAATCAATATATATATATTTTTTTAAAAAGCTGTGCTGTGCATAGTTTTTGCCTTTTGGAGCACTGCCAAACATGTATGAAATATTAGCATGAGCATAAGTTATAAAAAAGCTCCAAATTCTGAATGGATTAATTAGACTTTAAAATTAGCTACCCAATACATAAATGAGTAGCTAAGGAATAGTTTTGGGAAAATGCACTCATTCACTTTTTGGTGAATTAGATGAGAAGCTGGATAACACTCGCTTAGCTTAGCTTAGCATCTAACCAGTAACTATTCCTTTAATACTCTCCTGCCCTCATATACAGCACATGTCCTATTTTCAGCCGTGCAAATATTTAAAACATTACTTATTTATGTGCTACTTCCTGCTTTGTTAATGTTTATTTAATTTTTCCTGCTGCAGATTTGAGACTTGACTTAGGTTTGTATTTGAAGTGAGTAGTGGGGCTGTGTTACTGCACCTGAGCCACTGATGTTTGTGGGTTCAGCATGAGGTTCTGAAAGGTTCTCTTCAGCACCCAACGTAGCTGGTGGAAGAAGGAGCTGTTGTAGGTGATGGTGCGGGACTTTGGACATAAGATACACTCCTTATCCTGGACGATGCGGTCCAGCTCAGCTCTAGTGTCACTGGAGTAGCTGCTATTCCTGTACTCCTCTACCAGGCGCTCCTCGATGCTCTGCCTGGAGCTGCTGAGCTCCTCGAAGTCCAAATCTGGCCATGCACACCAAGAAAATGGCTTATTTACATATTGGAAATACTCTACTACGATAGACACCAATAATTCCATAAAGCATTGGATTGAAAATATTCGTGTGGACTTTTTTTAATATTTACCATATAAATGTGTTTTTTTTAAGTTGGTCTTTCATGTTTCATTCTTTACCTGTTTGAACAGCACCTAACTGAATTATACTACTATGACTTTTTTTGTCAGATTCTGCTTTGAACTGTATTTTTTATGGTTCTGTCTAATCTGTTTTTTCAATTTTATCTTCTTTCTTAAAATCAAATGAATGTGTCTTTTTATATTGCCCTGTGTTTCTTTTATATCTTGTCTGAATGCCTTTTATGTATTATGTAAAGCACTTAAATGACCTTGTTGAAAGGTGTTATACAATTCAACTGGCCTTGTCAGTTTGCCCCTCAAATCTAGGGCTTTTATCCATTCCCTGCTCTAATTGCAAAACTAAAGATGACCGTGCCTTTGCTGTTTTAGCCCCGACATTGTGGAACAGTCTTTCCCAATCACTACGATCAACTGCATCTCACCCTCCAGCACCACGAGTGGAGCATACTTTAATCTGCAGATGACAGATGATTATCATTAGTGTTGAGTGGGCATAAATTAGTATCCGGGAGAGTATCGTCAGAGTCAATATCTGTCCATGTAAATATAGCATATAAATATAAATAAAACTTGTTCTGTAAATAGTTCTCTTACTCTTGTGATCAAAAATATTGATCTGAAGCTCAATTCTGGAGCTGTTCTGTTCTGTTGGCTAAACAATTAAATAAAATGACTTTTTTTAAAACCCTTGAAATATTATTGACAATAACTACATTACATGCAAACTACAGGATTATGGTCAAGCACACAGTTAAGAACATTAGACAAGCCTCGAATGGGAATGGGAGGTTAAAATATTATATACATATAATAAATAACAAAATTTAAAAAATGCTTTCACATGTTTACAAATCCATCTTGTTACTAAGGAAGATTTATGAAGACATCACCTTGGCAGTATTATTATTATTATTATTCATTATTCATTCATGCCATTACCTTCAGATCCGTGCACTTTGGTCATGGTCGTGGCGGTGGAGTCTCCATTAATAACATCCAGAAAGAAGTCAGCTGGGTTGTTGTGTGGCTCACAGGGGTAGCCTGGAATACAGATCACAATGCTACATGTTTGATATCAATACATGTTAGACTGAGACATTATCTAATTTGAAAAAGCCTTATTTGAATAAGGCTGCTTAACCATGTGATTACCAGGTGACATTAAAGGAACAATATGAAGATGTTAGACGGTATCTTGTGGTGATAATAAGTTTCCACATATTCACCAATGTTGGCGAAGTAGTCCAAAGCGTTTGGTGCTGGTCCATGGTACACCATTTTACCACTAACCAGCAGAGTCAGAGTGTCGAACAGTCTATAGATGGAGTATCGTGGTTGGTGAATGGACATAATTATGGTTCTTCCATGATTCGCCATTCTGAAAAGACGCATTGTAAAAATATATATTAATAGAAAACACAATAAAGCTAACTTCTAATTGTAAAACTAAATGTGGTAGGCTTTTAACCATAAAACAATTCTAATCACATTTCACTATAATCAATTAATACTTAAAACAAAATAATGTTTCTATATGTGGTTTTAAATCTTTTAAACCTTTTTTTAAACTTGAATCAATTTATTAACTCATTATAATTAAGCACTGAAGTGGCACACAAGTTTGGATGTAATAAAGAACAATTTATCAAAAACAGTTTTGCATAAATACACCAATATTGTATATTTTAATGTATAATTACATTTAATACTGATATTTGTGCACGGGTACTGAAGTCACAATGGTCAAAGTTGTCCTATTTTCTTTTAAGAGCAACTTTTTGGCACTAAAATAAGCCTAAAATGTGCTAAAATGTTAACTTAAAATGTATTCAAAAAACTAATTGGGGCACGCACAAATCTGAAGATAATCCATAATTAAATCAGAGGAATGGAAGAAAAACTTCTTGATTACCTTTTCAGTAACAGCAGGACAGAGTTAGCAGTACTAGCATCCAATCCTGTGGTCGGTTCATCCAGAAAGAGGACAGAGGGATCAATGATCAACTCCATGCCGATGTTTGTCCTCTTCCTCTCTCCTCCAGAGATTCCCCGGGTCATCTGTGTGCCCACCTGAGAAAAACACCCATAATAACCAATCAACCTGTCCTGACTCTCACCCGATGAAGCTTGAGGTAGACCACAAGATAAGTAATTGGGACGTGTGTGTATATTTACCTTGGAGTCAGCCACCTTGGTGAGACCCAGTTCTTTAATGAGATGATTGACTCGAGCCTCCTTCTCACTCTGAGGCACACAGCTGGGCAGCCGCAGAGCTGCAGAAAAACGCAGATTCTCCCTCACAGTCAGGGTGCCCATGACCACGTCTTCCTAGGAAGGGAGACGAGAGCTCGAGGTCAAAGACAGTTATATATAAATAGACATTTCCACACACCTGTAATGCAGAGATGTTGACCTAATAGTGTGTAGAAACTAGAAAACTCTGTATTTAAAGCTGTTATAATTAACATTTTATATTTACAAGGGATCACCCAACTCTGAAGTTCTTAGTTCTTAGCATTTTGGTGTCTTTAAGACATTTTTTTCTGGTTCTAAGGCCCGAAACTTTACTTTTTTAGGTTTTGATTCACTCTCTCTTTAGCGTTGTTTCCAGCCACAGCAGTTTTTTGTGAAAAAGCTCTGATAAACCCACTGCACACTACCTACCCAGCACCAAACAGCAAACAGACAAAGCTAGCAACTAGCTGGTAAACAAGAGTTAGTGGAGACCAAACCAGAAAGTGAATATCAGACATAAAATTTCTCAAGTGGATACAAACAAGACTGTAAATTGAATAGAACGTTGTTGCAACTGTTTTCTACATCACAATTAAAGGTAAAACATATATCAGTGTTGTGCTTCCATTGGGTAAGTCGACAAACAAACCAGCTTATGCAGGTTTACGTAATCAAAATAATTCATATGCACCTGAACCACATAGCCAGAGAGGCACTTGAAGTTTGGAGGCTGTGGCGCTCTGTCAATGAGAACTTCTCCTGAGAGGCCAGAAGGATCCTTCCTTGCAGCCAGAATATCCAAGAATCTGTCAACGAAAACAAAACAATACTTTTGTACTCTACAACAACAAATGCTGGCTACTATTTTTTCTTGGAGATCAGTGTAATACTCACGAAGATTTTCCACTTCCAGTAGGTCCAAGAATAGCGTTGAGGCCAGGTCTCATGATCCCACTGCAAGACAACAACACACACCGCTCTGTAAGCGATTTAACATGGATACGTTTATTTTAAGGCAACGACTTGGACATATTCAAATAGTTTGCATTTATTTCTAAGGTATGTAATAATCTTCACCGCACCAGTCTTATGATAGAGATGTGAGGAGTGTGAAATAAAGTGGATTAATGTGATTCTTAAATTATTTTCTTCATCAGACTTTTTATTTTACATATATTTTTCCTTCTCAAACCAAATAAAATAATGTTCATGAAAAGATTTTGGGGTTTCATGAGCATTTTTTGAAAGCTGCACACACACACACACACACACACACACAAAATCTATACTGTGCTGTAAAAAAATAAAATAATTGAAGAGCAAATCCTTTGACATCAGAGGGAACAGTTACAAAAGCACCAGAAAGAGTCAGTGATATAAAACGGAATTAAAAGACTGAATAAAAGCCTGGCAGTGGATCACGTGACGGTGTTTAATTCTTTCCCTGGCAGACTGCTCTTTACCGCATCAGAGAGATTATATGCAAGAAACCATGCTTAATATCATATAATTAACACTGAGGCGGGAAAAGGCCCAAAAACTTGTGTGAAATGATTCATTCTTCCATGGGAAATGTCAGCTGTGCTTAATACCATCAGAAAGAAACCAACGTAAGAGTCCATTCACTATTGTTTCGGCTTTGTATAAGGATACAATGAGCCATACAGATTCCACATGAAGAACCACCGCTCTCTGACTGTAACAGGGTCCCACAGATTCAGGGACTCAAAGGAATTACTGCAATTCATTGTTATGTCACGCCAAAATGTTTGTTTCTGCAAGTCAACACACCAATAATCACCAGATTTGTGATAGTTTTTAGTCTTGTTCTCTAACAAAAAGCTCATAATAAAAGATCCTTAAGCTTCTACTGAACTCTGAATGAATGAGAGAAAAGAGAAAGAAAACAACTAAATGTGCCACATTTCAAAAACCTATGAGTCTCCTTGTAACGTTTGCAGCATTTCTATGTGTGATACAACTGACAAAGACACAAAACAGTTGTGTTCAGTTTCAACTGACTTGAGGTCGACCAGTATTTCCCTGGCACTGGTTTTCCTTTTGCAGAGAAATCCGCTCTTCAGCTGCACTTTGTACTGGATGTTGTGGAAGCTCACGGTGGAGCCGCACGGCTGCGGGTTCTGGTCCATGGCCGTGACGACCTTTGATCTGGCCGTCCCGTTGGTGTTGCCGATATCTTCTATCATTGCAATGTTGATGTGGTTGGCTCTCTCCATCATCCTCTGCAGCAAACACCCTGTCAAATGACAGTGATATAAATAGATAGAAATCAATATTATACTTTATTTTGTGATGTACAATTCATAGATTCCATCAATTAGTAAATAAGCATCTGAGCATTTTTCTTATGTGACTTTACATAAACATTTCATAGAACAACAATCAACAATAGACTCAATATAACTGAAGAGAATACCAAACAAACAATGAATATTAATTGAAAAACCAACTAATAAACTAACGAAATCGAAAAAAAATAACAAATAGACATACTAATTTTGTGTTTTAGCTCTTTTTGGCATTTACTGATTTGTTACATACCGAGGTGATATACAAAAATGCAGAAAAAACTAAGGAATGTTTCTCTTTATTAATTAAAATTCAATATTAATATATCTCATGGACTGTATGTGTGGCAACTGTTTAGGACAGTTTGCACTAATTAGTTGATGCTGGGCAAATAAAATGGACATACAAATGTCTCCTTAAGTGGAGGAAGGTTAAAAAATCGTCTACCTTTGGTAACACTACTTGTTCTACTAAAGCCCCATTAATGTTCATTATGGTATTAATCAATTCAAATGATGTGTCAAAGAAGTGTTGTCTCTGTATGCTTGTACAATATTCCAGGAACAAAAACAGGATGCTGAAAATTTAAATCCCAACGGTATAACCTATAACTTATAATATTTAACAAGCGTATATCCAAATGTTATCCCTAAAGTCAGAAAAAGACCGTCTAGCATCTTTAAATGTTACACCCTCGATCATCTCTATGCCCCAGGAATTCAACAGCTCCAGTTTCTTTATATCACAAGACAGACCAGTAAAGAAAAGGCTGCTTGTCGTCACAAAACAGAAACATACTGACGTTTAACACAAACAGGGCGATTAGAAAACAAGACAAACGTGGGCAAACTAAATTCTTTTTGTATAATATACAGTATGTTTAAGTCCACAGTTTGTTTAAAAATAGAATATATTTTCCGCTGGTTTAAAGACTTCTTCATAAAGTCTCATAAATGAAAACATACACAAACAAACAATAACAATAAAAACTACTTTATTATAACTACTATACTTAGAAGATGACTCCAATTCCTCAGTACAATGCTGTGGCCTCGTCTTTTTATTCTCCTTATTAAAGGTCCAATGTGTATGAATAATGTGTGTATACATTTATTAATTTAATTAATCGACATCTTGGTCACCAGGTCCTATGCTACATCTGAGGACAGTGAGATCACATGTTGGATATTTAGGGGGATGTGAGGGTTTTGATTTATCTATAAATAAATATATTTATTTTATATATTATTATATAAATCAAAACGTACTTACTTACAACTTTGGGGAACGTAATGGTACATTTGCAAATGTAAGGCCTCAGTTTTATTAGATTCTATGGCATATATGGTCCTTCATATAATCATTTTTTCCAGATGAAGAAAATGACCACAAGAATTGAGAACGTAAATCAAGTTCAACTTTATTTTAAGGTGGCTACTTTCTTTACTTCATGCATGGGCTTCAGCAACTTTTACCCTTTTTACAGCTTTAGTATGTTCTAGAGAAACGTGTCAAGAAATTAAATCAAATAGTATACTGCGACTGGGAACTGGTTATTCATTTTCTCACCAAATCTTATCCATAAAAAAAACCTACACACAGGACACATGACTATCTTAAACTCCTGACTACAGCACTGATTCACACACTACTTTATTTCAACATGTGCCACAGTTGTGGATTTAAAGCACTAAAAAGGCTTAAAACATTTTTTAGTACATCAGGAAGGCTTACTTTAAATATCAAGGAACATTTTCTTCATGCTTCCTAATCAGACAAACCAGGTAAAAAAGATCAGAGGCCATCAGTGTTGCTGCAGAGAAAAGTAAAGGTTTGTTGCAGGGACTTACCGGGCTGTGAGACTGTGAGAACGCTGCTGGTTGGGGTCCCGCTGCAGCCTTCAGGAGCGCTGCTGCTGCAGACTGACAGAGCAGACAGACTGTGCAGGCTGACTAACATCAGGTCATGACAGCAGGGGACAGGTGCCTCACCATCCAGCCACACACTCAGCTGGGATCCCACCAAGCTGCAGGGGTTTAATAACCCTTTATGTACCACCCAAAGAAGACATGAATGATTGAAATGAAACTTATTTTCACTCCTTTAACGCTGGTTTCCACTCATTTCTGTCCAGTGTGAAAATCCAGTAGGAGACTTGTGAAACTTGCTACAATTTATCCAAGTTTGCATTATTTTTTTGTTACATTATTATTGGATGTTAGAGCAGAACACACCTTTAAAATAAATCTGCAGTATACACAACTTAAGCAAGTTTCACAAGTTTATTATTTTTCAAACAGTACACGATCTCTTTAAATACCAATGGCTGCCCCGGTTCGAAAAACACATGATAAAATACCTTTCAGCTTAAAAACTAAGTGAAAAGTTAGAAAAAGTAGCTCTACCCAAAGCCAATAATAATCTAACTTTCAGTGGCTTTGGCCTGACTCTTTCCTTAGCCAGACGTTGCCTAGCAACACAATTAGCAGGAATTGTCAGTTAGCCAGAAACAGTTTAATTATGTTTAAAATAAAAACATATGAGTGGCTTTTTTTGTGCCTCAGCATCTTTTTCAATCCTAGGACATACTGCAGCTACAATCTGTTGCATAATGTCAGCATAACGTTAACTAGCATTGCATCATGAAGCTAGGTGGCTAATTATCTGAAGGCAACTTTGGTATTTAAGCAACTGATAAATCTATATCTCCTGGACTTATATACATATAGTTTTTACTATCTATGTGTATATATATTTTAAATATATATATCAGCATATCTGGTGTTTTCATATTTGATTAGACATAAAAACTTACATTGTTTCTTTATCTATTGCCACCATAAGCAGTGTACAACTAATTGCTCATAACGGTTCAATATTGCTCAATAAAATTTTGATACAAAACGTTTTTGACAATCCAGAAAAAGTAAATCTCCGTTGCGGTTTTATGATTGTGACGTAACAAAGTAAATATTTAACGGTTCCAACAATAGCATTCAACAAAGACAACATCTTTTTTGGTGTATAGTTTTAATTTGAAGTGTTTCACAAGCCATTCAGACCAAAAATACAGTACAAACAGAGTGTAGTTCAAAGAGTCACATTTAGGTCCCAGGTACAGATCCACAGCTGCAATGATTGTATTTGACAGTAAATATAAACCGAACACAGTCTGATAGATAACTTTAACAGGCGAGAAGGCTTGTAATGAGTATGTTATAAAGTCTTTACAATAAATCAAGGTTTCATTCAATATGTGAACGAAGGAGGAAAACAGTTATTTACAAAACATATATAAGTGGTGTTTAAGGACATAGAATAATGACAGAAGTCTCACAAACGGAACAATGCTGATAAATATGACGTTTTGCATTTGTCTAGCTTCAACAACGACAAAACAAAAAGATCCAACAGTGAACCAAAACGGCACGATCCAATGGTTTGTCTGCCTTTTGCACTGGAAATATATCCACTCACATCAGGGTCAGCCAAGACAACTCAGCAATACAGCTTAATTACTCCTTCACCCAACAGGGTTTTGATTGTATTCGTTAGTCATGGAGGGCATTGAAGCAAACATTCACATTGTCATACATGGCTCTTAGCTGAACAGTTCTTTAGTGTTGCATTAAGTGTGCATTCGCTCTTTCTGAGTGACACTGAAATGGCGTAAAATGAGGAATTACCGATTGTAACAGAGTTACGATCAAAATGGTGTACATACACACACACACGATACAAGCAAGCACCTATGCAAAGTTCCTGCGTGTGAAATATTCTGTTTAGACGAGTTATGCAACAGAGAACTATCAGTTTTCCAGATGTACATAAATAGAATTATTTACAAAACATACACTATACATTTGTGTACCCTGAACACTTCTTTGTGCCCTAACAAGACCTGTTTCAAATCAGTACAGATATAAACACTTAGACGAGCGTGAGCAATGTTTAATTTGCCAGAAACGTGAATATCTTTTTTTTTTTTTATACACGTCAAGAATCAGCCCCTGAAATGCTGTTGATATAAAACAGCATTAAGCAACTCCATTCACACTAGTTCACTAGAACACAGAACATTCAGGGGTTTGTTTATTTTTCTCCCAATGATTGTGCAATTGGGCAATCTATGCTTTTCAATAGTGCTTTAGTTAAGTACTATAAGTACAAATAAAACAACAACTGTTAAACATTGTTTAAGGGGCAGTCGGGAACAAATCAGTTTCAAAGATTAAACTTTAAATATTTCTGTATCGTCTAATTTAGATAAACAAGTTGAGGAGGAAACTCCAGAATTGACATATAGCCATTAAGACTTACTTTGGCCATGATATTTATATTCCAGTTGTTTCAGAAGTTGCTTTAAGTATGTATTCTCATACACCGGCTCAATTAAGTCCAATCAAATGGCAAATTAGTTCAATTATTATATTTTCCCACTTTCTTCTCTGCATGTCATTCTACTGTTAGCAATGAGAAATTAAACTGGTAAAATCGAGATACACTTTTCTTTTTTCTTTTTAAATGCAACTTATTCAAGTTAACCATGAAAATAAAAACTTGGGTATTTTGAACAGCTAAAAAGATAAAAAATGAACTGAATGGCAGAAAGTCTTAAAATCTTAGCTAATGTAGAGAAGTTTACAAATTTGCTGAGTGACAGGCTGCAGGTCATCATGAATTGCTATCTGCCATTCAAACACTTCTCAGCTTTTAGCACCTCTAAGGTCATTGGCTTGCTAGTAGATAAAACCTTGTATAAAGAGGATGTTTTTCTTTTAGTGCACATCTTGAATTCACTGCCTCTTATGTCACAGAGGCTAATAAATATCATGCTCTAAATAACACGTTGTAACCCTTAGGTATTATTGTTTAGGCAAACAGAACCACACTCTTCATAATGTTTCCACAAGGACACTATCGTTTGATTGTATTGCACACAATAATTAGGTCCGAAGACCACACCTTTTCATCCAACGGCCCGCTGACTACGCCCAGCGACCGCTCGACACGAAACTTCTGCTGAAGGAGAAACTTGAGTCCGAACTCTCGTGCTTTCCCCAAGCACCAAACGGCACCACGATAATTGTGCTGTTGTCCTCTGAGCCATACTGAAGAGCCTGAGAGAGAGAGAGAGAGAGAAGAGGAAAACAAGTCAGCCGTGTGCGGAGCATGTCTGACTTCACTAGACTGAAGGGGAGATTGTCTACCAGTTATTTACAGATACTGGGAGTGAGAGATGTTTTGGTGAGGCACCGGCGCAAAACACAATGTTAGAGATAGGTGTGAAAATATTTTTGGTTCATTATGAAACCGTGGCGAGCCACCACACTCTATAGTTACTAGGAAAGGCTGCCTGTAGGCGTATATGCTGCCCTGTCAGGACCAGAAGAACTGAAAAACTAGTACAGTCACATTTTCAGAGCTTTGGCATCGACTTGGTACATCCGTAACTGGAACCTCCACACTTTGACAGGTGTAGCAAATACATTTTTTTTTCCTAGCATCCAATATTCTGCACAACAACAAAAACTGTCAACAAAACCTGTGGCTCAGAGGAACAAGCTGTACCAGACTTTGCTGCACAGACTGTACTTGTTAGTAGGATCAATTAATTGGTACTTTTGGTCTTTTTGTGGAATTTTTTGACCGTGAGAAAAACCTATATTAGGCTTAAGGTGCTTTCAGACACCATTTTCTTATCCTTTAAGGAACAAAAACATAGGAATAATACTTGAAATGAGTGGTGTGTATTCATAGGCTACAGAGCAGAGTGCTTGTACACAATACTGCCGCGTGGTTTCACCGTGGGCGTATTAAAAGCCAACCATAAACGTCTTACCTGGTCAGATATTCTCTGAGCTGCCTCCTTGGGGTCGTGGCACTGGTTGATGACGTTGCAGATCTCTTGGCTGTTCATAATGAAGTTAACGCCGTCTGTGGTCAGCGCCAGGAATGAGTCGTGGGCATGGTGCAACTGAAGAAAAGACAGCAATGTTTCCCGCCATGTAGCACTGAATTACAACTATAATTCATAAGAGATAACAAATTCTGCAAAAACCTGCAGAGAACACAAATCAAATCCTAAAATACCTAAATTATACCTTTATAAGTCCTAAATGTATAATCCTACCGTTACTCTCTTGGTCTCAGGCTCAGCGATGACCCCCATGTTCTTCAGGTCAAAGTCTCCAATGCTGCGAGTCATGGCCAACCTGCCGTTGACGTTTGGCTGTCCCAGACTATTCCAGGTGATAAAACCCCCACTTTTCTTTATCCTTGAGGCGGGTGCAGAGGGAGACAAAGATACATCAGGACTGAAAACACCACTTTGAAATGTGTGATTCTTAAGTTTCAGGAAAAATAAACCTAGCATGTTGGGTTTTACTCAACAGGGAACACAAATTGAACTTTTCATTTCACTGTCCCCAACCCGTCAGAGCAAACTATTATTTGTGATGGCTAATTACACAACGCCAAATGTTTAATGGGCTTCTCAGTTACCTAAAGATATGTCACAAACTGGTATACTCCATAGAGACATGTCCAACATCAAAAACCAGTGGTGAGCTTAATTTACAATCAATCAATGTAAATAACTGCAATCAATGCTTAGATGGACAGTTCAGTACCTTCTTTTAGTCAACAGATGTTCTAATGGATACGAGTTTAGTTAGTCTAATTTGTCTAAAGTTCTTCTGACAGGCACAACAACCCTGAAAATGAAGCCCTAACTGAAAACCCACGTGTAGTGTCTTCAGGAACCATTACGTGTCTTACCATTATCCCCTGCTGATGTGCTTTGTCTAAACTGACAACACCTTCGTACCTTTCTTTCTCGTCCTTCCTCTCGGGAGTGTGGTCGACAGTGAGTTTAAGGGCTTTGCCCTTGCGGCCCAGCATGGCGCGGCTGTCACCCACACTGCCCACCACCAGCTCAATGCCGTCCCTCAGCAGGGCCACAGTGGAGGTGGTTCCTGCGTTCATCCCGGGTGCTACAGAGACATGAAAGGAAACATCAGAGGTGGAATGTGCCATAAAAAAAAGCTCCACACAAAACGTCACTGTTCACATTGTTCACAACAACCACACGGTGTATCTCACGCTCTCACATCCACACACCAAAACATGAACACATGGGTGGGAAGTCATAAAGTGGACTTACAGCAAACTAGAGATTGCACAGTTAACAATAGAGGAGGCAGTCACACATGCAGGTCGAACTGTTTTAGCACAGAGTTGAGGTCCAGAGCAAATTTTACAGAAGACTTGCGTCTTAGGTTGAACATACAAATAATAAATGTTACCTGACACAACATCAGTGGCCAGTATTTAAATTTGTATTCAAAAAGCAAAAGCAACACATAAACTCATCTAAAATAGAAAACTACTTTTCTTAAAACTTGCTGAGAGGGGTTTGTTTTACTTCTATGTTTTGCATGCATTTATCTTGCACCACTAATCTGTCATAAAGGAAAACACCAAATCTGACTACTGACTAATTTGTTCTCATTAATGCAAGCAAGCTGTGAGATGTTATTTTAACACTGAAAGCAGCAACGTGGTTCCAACCAAATTTATGTGTCTGGCAAATGATGTTTGAGCAGCGGATATTTAACTGCACATAAACACTAAACTTGAGGTCCTTCCTTCAGGGAAGACAAAAATCACGTCAATCAATCAATGTCATTAAACAGATTTTCCTGCTGACATTTGTAGGCCTGCAGCAGAGCTTTTTCTCACCATGGAAATAAATGACAGGACTACCTTGAGATTTTTAAGCTTGTTTTTTTTTTTTTTTTTGCCTAATCTGCATATTAAACATGCTGAATCTCATGGACTAGATCTGTCACTGGCAACATACATCTCATACAACTTGTCAAACGGAAGCACTGTCTCACAAGAAGCTTTGCATACACTTGGTGAGAAGAAAAGAAAAGGAAGAGAGAGAGAGAGAGTGAGGAGTGAGAGAAAGATAGGGAACCTTCCAGTAGTCCAGGATTTAGGACCCGCTGGACTCTCCTTCAATATCTAGCCTCTCGTCATCCACATTGGTGCCAAGGGCCTCCAGCTCTTAGCTGGGTCAGCAGCTGCCGTAGATAACATGCACACACACACACAGGCATATTGGGACATTTCACACAACGTGGCCGATGTATGGCCACATTATAGATATACTAGCTTTTATATCAACAGGTAACCTAAATCAGATATAATGCCATTTGAGAAACACATGCAGACCATATGATTTATCGAGAGAAAGGTTTTGCATTCATTTGTTCGAGGGAAGCTCGAATTACCCCCCCAACATCAATTTCAGCGCTTGTGTTAAACAATAAACTTTGCAGACTGAGAAAAATAAAATCAAAAGATGGGTAACACATTAAAGGAAAAAACAACATTTAGTGTCGGGCCACCATAAGCCTTTGAATGAGCTTCAATGGCATAGACTCTACAGGTCTGTGAAGACCATAACATATGGTTGACAGCATTTTCATACTCAAAAACCATTCAGTGACCCCTCGTGCCCGATGTGGAAAGATCCACTTCGCTATGTTTATCCACACATGTGCTCACGTTTTTCCCTTTAATTTGTCACCTTCCTGTATGCGTAGATGCAGCACTGGAAGCAGTGAAGCACTAGCGTGTTCGCTCTACTTGTAGCTGGTTTATTGTTCATTACTTATTAAGTAACTTTGGCTTAAATGACAGACCTCTAACCAGAAGTGCTCGGGTCATGTCAGTGGAAATCCAATCATTTTAAACCTAAGTAGGAAAAGTAAGTTAGGTTTTGAACAGAGAAGAAAGTGTTGTTACATGTAGAGCTGCAACAATTAGTCAACTAATCGATTAGTTGATCAACTGAAAAATAATAGCCAACTATTATGATTATATATATATGTATTATGATTATTATAAGTCATTTTTCATGCAAACATGGCAGTAAATACTGTTTCTGGCCTTTCGAATATGGAGATTTCCTACTTTTCTGATTTATAATCATATTATACTGAATATTTTAGGGTTTTGGGCTGAAAAAACAAAACATTTAAATACATCACCTTGGATGGACATTTTATAGACCAAACAATTGATTAATCTAGAAAATAATTAATCGATAATGAAAGTTATCATTAGTTGCAGCCCTAATTACAATCACTATGTGTGTATATACACAGTATGTCTATGTACATGTAACATAAAAGAACCTACCAGCTGGAGAGAAGTGCAAGTGCCTTGCAAGAGCTTTGTCTACTTCAAGAAAGGCCTTGGTTAAAACTAATTCCAGATTGGGCTCCTCTGCCACAAGGTCCCTGAAACAAGCACAAGATTACGTTAATCAGAATATCAGCTACAAAAGGTACGACTTATCCTCCTTTTCAAACATTCAAATAGTCCATCATTCAGTTAATCTCCTGTGACACTGACCAGTATAGGTATGTGATAATAGCATATCCAGAACAGAATTAGCACCCGTCATCAACTAAATGCTGGTAAAAATATAATATAACAAAAACTTTGTGACTGGTTGAATTTCAGCATTCACTAGCCGGTAAAAAAAAGTTCATTTTGCATTTTCCTTACTTGATATATTTCTCCATGTACTTTTCACAAAAGTCGGCAGCTTCTGGCCCGCCATGCCCATCGAACACAGCAAAGTACAGGATGTTGTCGGTCATTTGGGAGACCTGGAAGCGGTCTTCATTCTCCTTGCGTTGTCCGATCAGCGAGGCGCAGCCTACCCTCGATAAGCTGACTTTGGGAATGGGCTTGCCGTAGCGAATGCTGGGAGGCAACAGGATGGGCTCATCGATCCGATTGTCCCAGATGCCAAATGAATCCCAAGTAGTGGGGTGGCCACTGCTGTCTGCATCAAAGCGTGTGTTGCTGTGCCGTTTTCCTGAAGGGCTGTACAGTTGTCTACGGAAGATTGTGAACTGGAGGTGGCTGTCCTGCTGAAACGGGAATGGGGCTTTCTGTAAAAGACCACTGCACCTTGCCAGGCGCATGAGACAGGCCGCTGACATCACCCTGACAGCACAAACAATGGAGAAGCACTGGATGCAGAGGGAGAAGGATTTGTCCGTCCGAACCCTGAGGACAAATCGGTTCGGTTAGACTAGACAGGGAAATTTAACGACCATTACAAACGTCTTTTTTGTTTGATCAGCAGGGGCCCACGATACTAACATGTGTAAAATGCTGCAACTGTTGCCATAAAGGTCTCTTGAATCTAGAAATCATTAAGCAAGTGCTATAGATCAACCCTCCAGCCATCTCAAAGAGATATAATAATATGATGCAAATCGTTTACTTATTTACAAAAGGTGCTTAAAACAGTGGCCTGGTTATAGAAGGATGGTTGGAGCTAAGACATAAATGCACAGTACTTAATAACTCTTTAGTAGAGCTGAAATAGTTCGCTGATTGACAGGAAATTAATCAGTAACTGTTCTGATAACTGATTTAAAGTTCCAGTTATTTCTCAAGCAAAAAAAAAATGCAGAATATTTCCTGGTTCCTGGGTTGAATAACAGGATGTGATGCTTTTCTTTGTGATATATACCAACAAACTGATCTATCTTTGGGTGTTAGACTGTTGGTCAGACCAGTATTTATACATATTCTTTGCCTTTGGGAAAGTGTGATGGACACTGTCACTATTCTCTGATATTTGACAAAACAACTGAGTGAAAACAATCAGCAGATTGATCCAGATAAACTAGCTGCAGCACAATAAACCTTAATTAATCAGAATGAACGTTAACTAAAGGACACGACAAGCCTCAACTCTCCACATATCAATCAAAGTCAATTATCTTAATGATAAAAATAAGAAATGTGTGTTTATCGTGACTAAAACTATAGTACATCACCCCTACGTTACCCCCTACGTTTACTAAACACCGTAACGTTTGAAAAGCCTCACAAACGTCTGACCCAAACACATTCACAGCATAGTGCATGCAGCAGTGTAACATGAAGAGGCGGTAAAGTTACCGCTGCACGAATGATGCAACTCCTGTCAGTCAGAACAGCGGGCGAACTGTTAGCTGCTGCGCTAACAACACATCAGTGTGCAGATTATATAACACAAGCGTCAGATGGGGTGTGTCCGCGTTTCACTTATTATACTTAAATACTACTAAATGTCACATTGCTGTTGCGGTTATGAGGGAAAAAAAACAAAAAAACCCCACTTGACTAACGTCGCAGTTAGTTCTCGTTTGGTTTCGGCGGTTTTGACGTTGAGCAGCTAACTAGCGAGCTACGTGGCTAGCATTAGCTAGAAGTTCGCAGTTTGTCCAACAATACTGAGACCCTCCTCCCTCCTCTCCCCCTCCCCTCAACCTCTCGGCTGTGTGTCAGCTAATAAAACATACCTTTGGTGTCTTAGCTGTATTAATACGGTGAAATCTGTGGCTGTTTGTTGACCAGAACCCGCTGATATCTGAATGAAAACCTTCCTCTCGTCCCACTGTGTTTTGAAACGTCAATGTTATCAAACAAGGCCTGTGATGTGACCGCGCCAATCAGCGTGCAGGGAACGGCTACGCCCCCCTTTGACGCCTCCCCCACGTTCAGCGCAGACGATTGGTCGACGAACGTTAAATGACAGCTGTATGCGCCAATCAGCAATCGGCAACTTTGGCATCTGCAGCCAATCAGACACGGGTGTGATGTAGAAGCGCCCTGTAGCGTTGGTTACCATTATGTGAATTTCCCTCAACGTATTTAGTTTCTTAAACATAGCTTTAATTTTGTTCCTATTAGTTATTCTGGGTCTAAACATGT